CCCATCGATCGCGCTCCTGAGCCCGACCCTTCCGTAGCGGCCGAGTTTGGGGCAACATCTCGTGTCGCTGCCGCCAGCAAGCCCGTCTGTCCCCCATCAGGAAGGCCACATGGGCTACGAGATCACCTGCCCGTGGAGGAGCCGCCTGCCTCGCCTCCAGGTGCGGACTTGGATCGAGCCCGTGGTGGCCTCGACCCAGGTGGCCGCCTCCCTCTATGACACAGGGCTACTCCTGGTGGTGAAGGCATCCTTCGGGGCCAGGAACTCCTCCAACCACAGCACCACCCTGTCTCCCCGGGGAGCTGAAGAGGACCAGCAGCAGAAGGCCATCTCCAATTTCTACATCATCTACAACCTCGTGGTGGGCCTGACGCCCTTGCTGTCCGCCTACGGGCTGGGCTGGCTCAGCGACAGTTACCACCGCAAGATCTCCATCGCCGTGTCGCTGCTGGGCTTCCTGCTGTCCCGCCTCGGACTGCTGCTCAAGGTGCTGCTGGACTGGCCGGTGGAGGTGCTGTACTGGGCAGCGGCGCTGAACGGGTTGGGCGGTGGCTTCTCAGCCTACTGGTCCGGGGTCATGGCACTGGGATCCCTGGGCTCCTCCGAGGGCCACCGCTCCCTGCGCCTCATCTTTATCGACCTGATCATGGGCTTCGCAGGGTTCTGCGGCAGCGTGGCCTCGGGATATCTCTTCAAGAAGATGGCCGGGCACTCGAGGCAGGGCCTGCTGCTGACGGCCTGCAGCGTGTCTTTTGCCTCTTTTGCCTTATTCTATACCATCTTGGTGCTGAAGGTCCCTAAGGCCGTAACCAAGCCCAGCAAGGAGCTCCCCAGCGTGGATTCTGTATCTGGCACAGTGGGCACTTACCGCACCCTGGATCCTGACCAGCTGGACAAGCAGAGTGCAGTGGGGCACCTTGCATCTTCCAGAAAAGCAAAGCCCCAAAAAACCATCATTGCCCTGCTCTTTGTTGGTGCCATCATGTATGACCTGGCTGTGGTGGGCACAGTAGACGTGATGGCCCTCTTTGTGCTGAGGGAGCCTCTGAGTTGGAACCAAGTGCAGGTGGGCTATGGTATGGCTTCTGGGTACACCATCTTCATCACCAGCTTCCTGGGTGTCCTGGTCTTCTCCCGCTACTTCCAGGACACCACCATGATCATGATTGGCATGGTCTCCTTTGCATCAGGAGCCCTCCTCTTGGCCTTTGTGAAAGAGACTTACATGTTCTACATTGGTGAGTCTGGTGTTCTCGGGGAGGTTGGACATTGCTGGCCCTCGGTTCACGGGGCTGACAACAGGAATACTGTGGTCCTGGTGTCCTAGCTCAGAACCAGGACTGAACCTGCCAGCACGGAGGCACGAGGGAGACAAGACTGTGTGTGCTTCATCCAGCTCTTACGCTGTGTACTATCTGTGCTGCAGAGTGCAGTGTTACCTGGAGGTGGCCCGTGGTTCTAGGGGGCCTGGAGGTGTGGTCAGTGGTACCTTGAGTCAGCAGGGGAGGCTTCAGGATACACGAGGTTGAATTTCTTCTCCTCAGTTTTTTTGAGTACTGGGAATTGAACCTAGGAGCACTGAGCTACACTCCCAGCCCTTTTAACTTTTATTTTGAGGCAAGTTCTTACTAAAATGCCCAGGCTGGCGGCAAACTTGCGATCCCTCTGCCTCAGTCTCCCGAGTCGGTGGGATTACAGGAATATGGCAGCTTCTTCCCCATTTTTTTTTTTTTAAGACAGAGTCTTGTTATATGGCCCAGGCTGGCCTTGAACTCATTGCCTTCAGCCTCCTGAGGCATTCACCACCATACTGAACTCCCAATTCTAAAGGGATGAAACATTAAGTAATCCATCTGAAAGGGTCCTTAAACCAAAATCATTTGGGACCAACTAAAGGCTTTTTAACAATGCATTAAAATTCCCAACAAATGACTTCTACAACCAATAGAATAAATCCCCTCAAGGAAGCCGAATGAAGTTCCCATGTGGGGACCAGGATCAGACAAGTGCAAGCAGAGAACTCTAGACTAACACTCCACAGGACTTTCTACAACAGTGGAAATGACCTGTTCAAGAATTCAGTCTGTCTCATACAGTAGCCATTTGCCCCATGTGTTATCACGTGCTTGAAGTGTTGCAGTGCAACTAAGAATAGAATTTTGAAGTTCATTTCATTTTAATTAATTTAACTGGTCATGTGTAGCTAACAGCTAACATACTGAAAGAACAACTCTGAAAAGTTACCAGAGGGCTGTTATGCATCTCAGAAAAACACTTACCAAAATGCACAATAACCTCTGGTCAGTTCTTGGTAGGAAGGTTATGTGCTAAGGACAGAGCACCCCTCTTCCCCTTCCCTTCCCTCCTCTCCTCTCTTACCCTCCTCCCCCTCTCTCCCCTCAACCCTCCTCTCCTCTCCAATTGGCTAATTGATGGGGCTTGAGAGATGTGTGGCAGCTGCTGTGAGGGACACACTTCCAGAAATGTTTTGCCGAAGCACCCAGGATTGTCTCCCACAAGTGTTCATGAATAGTGAGGACAGGTACTTCTCTCCTTCAGCACCTGGGAGAAGGTGACACCTCATGTCACTGTGGTGGCGCCACTTGGCTCTGCCAGTACAGACCCCTTTCACTGTTAGTCTCCTTGTCAGCTGTGTGCTGGCGCCTTGCAGAGTGGAACCCAACAAGAACAGCTCTGTCTGACCTCAGAGAGTCAGAGTCTGGCTGAGCAGGGCACTTGTCTTCCATCAGAGAACTTACTTCTTCCAGGTCACACATCTAGAGATTGTGAGGAGAAGGGCTGGAAGCGAGCCAGGCTTTTGCTTTATTCTGATTTTTGCAAGGCTGGACCACAGTGAAGCATGTTCTTGTGTGATCTTTTACAGCACGAACTGTCATGCTGTTCGCTCTCATCCCCATCACAACCATCCGGTCAGCCATGTCTAAACTCATAAAGGACTCTTCTTATGGTAAGTGAAAGGAATCTAAGATCTGCCCGGGCTGTTTCAGAGCTGCTGAACTTGGGGCACAGATTTGGAGAAGATACACAAGGAAAGTTCCAGAAGCATCTTCAAGTACATCCGGAGCATCGTAGTTTCCATCCAGGGCAGATAGGAGAGCAAGAGAGACTCAGACAGTCAGTCACTGAAAAGCTACAGAATGATACTTATTCTCCACAGGCTTCAGGAAGATGCAGTCAACGCAGGCAGTATTCCTGGCAAATTGAGCCATGAAGACTGAAAAGGAGTCTTTAGAAGAGGGACAGGTCCTCCAGGGCTCCAGAGACTCCCTTGTGAAGAACAAGGAGACAGACACAGGATATTTCTTATTAACCTCTGTCCCCTTCACAGGAAAAGTGTTCGTCATACTGCAGCTGTCCTTGGCTCTGACTGGGGTGGTGACATCCACCATGTATAACAAGATCTATCAGCTCACCATGGACAAGTTTGTCGGCACCTGCTTTGCTCTCTCCTCCGTCATATCCTTCTTGGCCATTGTCCCAATTGGGTAAGATGGGAGCGGCATCTGCCATGTGGGCTGGGGCCTTGTGTTTAGGTCAAGAGCTGTAGGACCATGTCTAGTCCACCATCACAAGATTATTTACTCTGAGTATTTATGCAGTGACTTCTGGATAACAGATTCTCTCACCAAGAAAAAGCCCCCCTCTTCCCTCAAGCCAATAATCTGGCCATCTGGAAATTACCCCACAACACAAATAGTGAACAGAACCCAAACGGGCTGACTTGCTTCCTGGCAGTTTTGTAGCGACAATTTATTTACAGGCATGTCATACACTTCCTTATCATTGGAAGCTGGTATTAGAAATTTTCTTGAGCCATTCAGACCTCTTCTGTTTGGCTTCCTTTGGATGAGAGTGATCCCACCTCCTTTCTGAGTATTTCTTCACTGTGTCCCGAGAAAGAGCTCTGCACTCAGTGTACAAAATCTCCTGACCACTAGGCTGTGTGAGCTTCCCTGTAAGACCCTGTAGGACCGACCCTGTAGGCAATTCCTTCCTCAGTTCTGGGAGGTAACAGGTCAGAGGAGGGCTGAGAAGCAAAGGAGAGGCATGGCTGGTCCGTGGAGCTTAGTGAGAACAGTAGTCAAGATCAACAGAAGCAAAAGAGAGTATAGTATATAGTTGTGCCTTCAGCCAGCCCTGCCCAACAGAAATCAGGGTGTGCGTCACAAAGCCTGGCCACATGTGTGCTTTATGTTTGCTACGGTGCTGCATTTTGAAGGAGTGACAGGTGAAACTAATTGTAATAATGTAGGCAGTATCCAAAATATCCTTTCAAGCCGGGCATGGTGGTGCATGCCTGGAATCCCAGCACTCGGGAGGCTGAGGCAGGAGGATCGCTGTGAGTACGAGACCAGCCTGGACTACACAGTGAGTTCCAGGTCAGTCTCAACTACATAGTAAGACCCTGTCTCAAAAAAAAAGAAAAAAAAATATATATATATATAAAATCATTTCAACATGGAATCAACTTACATAATTAATCAAGGAGATATTTTGCTTTTGAAAAAAACTAAGCCTCTGCGATCTGGTTATGTGGTTTATACTTACAGTACATTTTGACCTGGACCAGTTACATTCTGAGCGCTCAGTTGCCACAGGAACACTCAGGCTCCTGTACAGGACAGTCCTCCTTTAGACTGTTAAGCCCTGTACCCCTCCCCTGAAGTGAGGCTCTCTCATGTATCAGTGCTCCCTAGCCAGAAGAAAGAAAGAGAAAATATATATGTCCACAGTAGATTCAAGTGACTCTGTATACACTCACATTTTAAACTGCCTAGAAGCACATGAGCACTCTGTATAATGGCAACGACATTTTATAGGCAGCAGAGTAAAAAACAATTGAAGGTAAATTAAAAGAGGATAATAATAAAGTGCTCTAAATTCTTTTTTCACATCACATCATAATACAGGTTTTCTGGGATAGCCATCAATCATTAAGGTTCCTGACTTTCTTCCTTAGTTGAGAAAAATAAACCTAGCACACACTAGGCTTTGGGTTCAAGCCCTAGTTCCATAAAAAAAGGAAAAAAAGAAAAAGAAAAAGTGGAATGGGCCAGGGATTTAGCTCAGCAGCACAGCTCCTGCCTGGCAAGCGCAAGGTCCTGAGTTTGATCCCCGGTGCCAAAAAAGCAAAACACAAAAAACACCCAAAAAGTGGAGAAAGTAAGACATGAAGTTGATAGCTGAGAGAGTTTGTACAAACACGGGCCCATACTCAGGCCCCGGGTCTCACGGCTCTGTCCTCAGGCTGTCCGGCCCTTTTCATGTAAGTCCTGCCTGAACGGGTTGGACGGACTCCACTACAGCTGCCATGCAATGCCAATCTCTCAGGAGTTCCAGGACCCCGGCCAAGTGAATAACAGATTAGTACTTTTGCTTGCTTGAAAATTATCTGGTCCTATTTCATTGGCAGTGGATTGTAGTTTCTTTAACCTCAACAAACACCAAAAAACAATAGAAAACAAGTCTTACTAGCTAATGTGCATTATAAAGATAGAAACGCACAAAAGCAATGACAAAATTCCATAATCTGTTCCTTCTTGCACTTCTGTATGCTTTTGCTGTGCTAAGCAGGATGTCTTGCCTGCGTTAAGAGACTTGAGGGTACACGAGGCAAGTGTGCTGCTCTTGACGCCTCAGCCCAATGCACTTGACATCCATCCTTTATTCCTGCCCAGGATCTTAATTAACCATGCAGCATCTTCATAATCACATGTCACAGAACATGCAACCTATTGGGTGCTCGTGTGAATAAGGCACTCAAGTAATTGCTAAGTATTTCTCTGTCATAGATATTTAGCAGCACGGAAATGTGCAAACAAAACCAAGTGCTTTGTACATTGCAGTGACTGGGAAAGATTTCAAATTCTGCTCTCAGGATTCTGGCCCCAGAGATTGTGACTCATCTGATGCAGGGCACAGCCTGAGCACAGGGATTATTTTTAAAGCTCTCCAGGTAATTTGAATGTACAACTACACAACGTCAAACGTTCCGGAATTAAAGGAATGCTTCCTTTACCTTTTCTGAATCCTAGAAATTCTTCCAGCTAAAGGAGGCTAATCTGTACCATGAATCAAGTGAGAGCAAGAGGAAAGGCCAGTAGAGCTTTCTAGCCGTAGAAACAAAGCTACTTTCTTTTCCAAGGGCAGAAAAACCCAGGGGGCGTGTCAGAGCAGACAGAGGAGGACTCGGAAGACTGGACTGGTCCCAGTCCCAATCTCCTCCTTGGTGCTAGAAGAGTTCTATGGATGAGAACTTCCCACAGCCTGTTTGCAACCCCAGCTCACTGTGGCCCTGCCCCTCCCTGGCACCTAAGTGAGCCAATTTCATGCCACCGTGAGGACGCGCCCTCTCCTGCTAGCTCATTTTTTACCTGCGCTGGGGAGATGCTGAGGAAATTGCTGTATGGTTCTGCCCACCCTAATCCTCTCCTCCCACCCAGCAAAGACTTTGTGCTGCATAGAGGAAATAGAAGCCATCAGAAGACAATGTCCTCATCTCCTCCTGTCTACAAGCCCATGTTCATTCAGACACGCCGCATTCTTCCTTTTTTAAATGATAACAAACGTGTTAAATGTTTCATATATTTAAACTAATTCAATCTTCCTAAACAACCGTTTGAGGCAATTACTATTATCCCCATTTTGCTGATGAGGAAACAGAAACTCAGACTTGGCATTTTCTCAGAGGAATTTTCAAACCCTTCTCAATCAAAATGAGACCTTTCTATTATAGGTTCCCAAAGTTTCCTGTAGTTTTCCTTCCTAGCATGATAACTGGTGAACAGTTAATGATTGTCTATTCCATATTCTTGCCTGCTAGCCTGTAGGCTGTGTGAGAACAGAGACCATGCATGTTTGTCTGGCTGTGGCCAAGCCGTGTCTCACCAGAACTGGCCAAAGAATACATAGCTAGTAAGTTACAGAGAGGGATTTGAACCCAGCAGTCTCTTTCTCTCTTACCCACTACATGGCACTGTTCTCAGGAAAGTCACCCAATATGTGGGTGGCACCTTCTCCCACCTAACTCAGAGAGCGTCTTGTACTGCTTGATATCTTTCTCTTTCTCTTCGTTTCTCTCTCTCCCTCTCCCTCTCGCCCTGCTCCCCCTCCTCTTCCTCCTCCTCCTTCCGGTCTGAAAACTGACCCACCACTCTCTCCTCCTCCTCTTCAGAGCCAGTTGCCCCAAAGGCTGGTCTGCACCTGTGTCCGCTGTCCTCCCCTCCCGTTCACTTCCACACCTTCTCTCCAGTTCCCCTCCCAAGGTCACAGATGACTTCTTCGAAGCTTGATTAAGGGACACGCTGCAGCCCTACCTCCCGTGATTTCTCAGCAGCCCCAGCACTCTCGGGCACTCTTCCCTCCGGAGGTATTCACCCCGCCCCCCGCCTTCCTAACCCCGCCCTCTTCTGGTTTTTCCTCCTATTTCTCTGGTCATTTCTTCTCCTCCGTTTGGAGGACTCCTGCAGGGCTCTGTTCTGGGCCGTCTTCCCACTTGATATTCTTTCTCTAAGCAATCTAAAGTACTTCCAAACTTCAAATTGCCATATAAATTTCCACAATTGGGTTCCCTCCTAAACCTGCTTCCATTACATGGCACCATCAACCCCCTGAGCAGAGAGAAACCTGAGAGCCATCAATATCCTTCCTCTTCATCCTCCCCCATCTCCAAACCATCAGACCTCATTAATTATACCTCCAGAGCACACCTCAAAATCATGCTTTCCTTTTTATCTCTCCTACAATCATTCCTAGTCCAAAGCCCTGGTGACCAAGTTAGCCTGGAACCATTCTTTGCACAGTTATTCTTCTTTCAATTCTCTCTCCACCTGCTGGCCAGAGCAGTTTCTTTAAGGTATAAATCGGATCATGTCATCTCAAAGCTCTGCATTTGGCTTTCATTTCTCTTAGGATAAAACCTAAATGTCTTACTGTGGCCCTACATAATCGTCTCTACATAACCGCACCTCGACAACCTCACTACCCTCGGATTCCAGTCACTGATCACCCTCCTGTAACCTTTGTGTTCAACCATGGTCTTCCCTTTCCTCACCCACACCTCTTTCTTCACACAGTGAGTTGTGGTCAGAACCTAAATATCATTTTCTCAGAAAGGACTTTCCTAACCCTTCTCAATCTAAAGTAGATCTTTCTAGTCTATGTTCCCAAAGCATTCCATAGTTTTCCTTCCTCGAATGAGAGTTGATGAGTATTTAGTGATTATCCTTTTTAGTATGCTTCCCGTTGGACTGTAGGCTCTCTGCGGCCAGACACCATGGCTGCTTGGGTTACCCATGCCCTCTGAAAGCCTAGCATATAAGAAGCACTCAAGAAGGATTTGCTTAATGAATGAATGCTAAGAAAAATATGGCACTTACTACACATTGCTACTTACCACTCACATCCCAGAGCTCCCTGTTGGCTGAACGTAAAGTTAGGAGCTGGCCAGAAACACATGGTACAAGTCAGAAGTCAGGACTGAGCCAAGATCATGAGGTTCTATGCTGGCTGCCTCCTAGTCTTGCCTCCCCACTTGCCAGTCCTAGAAGACAATGAATTTTATTTGAAGTACAGTAACTGCCCCTCCCAGTAGGGCCCTGGGGCTCATGGGAGTTGGGAAGTTTCTACAAAGCTTTCCTTTAGAAAGTTTCTATTTAAACTCACACTCAGGGCTGGGGATTTGGCTCATTGGTTCTGCCGCCTGCCTCACAAGCACAAGGAGTTCGATCCCTGGTACTGAAAAAAAAAACAAAACAAACAAAAAAAAACCTCACACTCATTGGTGACTCCAGTTGTTACACAACAAGAGCTATGCTCTCACTTAGAACCTGAGGATCCTGAAGCTCCCACAGATGAGAAAACTTAGGGCCTCAGGTTGAAGGACATGATCCATCACACAGATCTGAGACTTCAATCAAGAGCTCCTTATTGCTAGAACTCCATCAGTCTGTTGGTATTTTAGAACAAGATTTATGGGATACAGGGATGAGGAAGGGAGATGTGGTGCTAATTCTTGAGATTAGCAAAGGTTAATCTTGATTTTGAGATACATATAGGAATTCCTCATCCAGCAAGAGATACAGAGAGATTCAAAGAAAATGTAGATACAAAGTCCTAATGATATGTGAAACAGAGATAGTCATTTTCACAGGACTAGAAGTGAGAGAAGTCCCCTAGGCTACCCTTCTCAGTGTAGCATTCCGATGCCATAATGGGGATAGCTGTTCACTCCATCAGTGATGAAGTTGTGGCCTGAGATCTCCCCAGCGTCGCTTCTCACTCTGACATAGAGTAGCCAGAGACATTCTCATACCTTGGTCAGGAGGAAAAGCTAAACCAGCCGTTCTCTTTTAACTCTCTATTGCAAATTCTTACAGAATTGTGGCCTACAAACAAGTCCTGGTCTTGCGATATGAAGACAGGACAGAGAAATGAAGGTGCAGATCTACAGAAGCTAAGAATACCAGCAGTGGCTGCGTCTCCCAGAAGACTAAAGAAGGGACCAGAGAACTGGTGACCAAAGCAACTACTACTGCAGAAACCCAAGTTCCAGGCAAAGTTAGCCTCCAAATAGCTCTGGTTAAGGGGTCCCAGGTGGATGGGCAAAGCACTTTCTGGGTGATGGATGAAATTTCTCAGCTTTCAGTTGCCCCTATCAAGCAGATGTTAGGTTCTGAGGTGCCAGCTGCCCCCTAGGTCGGGCTTTGGGCTCTAACTAGAGCAGCCAGCCAGCCCCCTTCTTCCAGCCCCCTTCTTCCAGGTACTTTTTTTTTTTTTTT